GCGTCCATGCTCCTAGTAGCGATGCCCTTTGCTACTAGTAGCTTCTTGATGCCTCCAGTTCTCATGGGTGTCCGCCCCGTTCCGCTGGAGAAAGAAGAGGCGAGACCAGCTGACCACACGGAGCCCTGCCCGCCCCTGCAGTTCCCACCCACATGGCATTTCATGCCCATCGAGGAGCCACTGCAACCCCACCACAGCCACAGAGCGCCTCGCAGTCACAGCCTGCACAGGAAGCAGGCACCAATCCATGGTATCAAAATGGCATGGCTTTAGTATGCTGGTGTTTACATTGCCTGCCAGGAAACCAGCAGGGCCTAGCCATGTCATCCGGAACCCCTCACCAAGCCCACAATCCCAACACCAACAGCCTCAAACTCCTTCCGTACGCAGCATTTCGCTCTCGCAGTATCCTGCAGAAACTGAGGGAAGGCTCATGATCGGCATAGCCAGGAATACCTCATCCAACCCTGAAGTTTTCCAATTCATGTCAACTCCCACATGCTCCACGTCGCCAAAGAATCCTTTCCTGGACGAGTGAAACATACAACCTAGGCAATTACAAGGCTTGTGCCACTGCGCCATTTGCCGAATTTTGTAATTTGGCCTGATTTGTCAACCCTGAAGCGGATGGCTACTCAGAAATTTAGGTGTTCTTACTAGTTTATTTGCATGGATATTGTATATGTTACATATACATGTACAAACGCCCCCGGTTTTTAAGATGCACACTGATGTCTTTGTCCTGTAGTGTTTCGGCTTAAGTCCCTTGACCTCGGTGCATGTCCTGCACTGGCTGCCACTTTTGGTGTGGCAAACCGACTTCGTGCCCGAGCTGCAGGACACTTTGCCGAATCTAGAACCTGTTCAGGGCAGGTTGCTTCATCCGCGGCCAGGAGGAGGCGGTCATCCAGATCTTGCGGTCGGCTTGTGGTGCGATCGAGGATCTTTCTGAACTGGCTGTGCCGCTCTTGAAGAAAGAGCGACTGGAATCGAATCCGCCCGGGTTCGACAAGCCAGAGGCAGAAGGAGCAACCTCCGCTCCATCAGGTTCTGGTGTCGGGAAGCCAGCAGCGGCTCCTGAAGCATTGGCTGAGGAGAAGGCCGACAAGGAGGACAAGGCAGAGCCAGACAGACCTCCAGGTGACTTTGGAGTACGTGCCAAAGAGGAGCATACAGAGGAGAAGGACCCCGTCGAGCTCGTGAAGGCAGAGATCAAGAGCATTGAGGGTGAAGAGGGTGAGGCACCCAAGAAGAAGAAGAGAAAGCGAAAGCACAAGAGTGGACCGTCGACGAAGAAGGAGAAGAGGAAGAAGAAGGAGAGAGAAGCAACTGCAGTGGAGGAGCCCGGTGCTGGGAGCACTGTATCGAAGCTTCGTGACCCCGAGGCCACCACTGAGGAGAAGGACCAGTTGGTTGCAGAGCAGCCTGTACGCTGTGAGTTGAAGCCAGCTCCCAAGGGGAGCGTTGCAAAGCATTTCAGCCATTACGACCTACCAACACCACCTCCGGCGCCCAAGCGCCCTAGGAGCCCGGACTACCCACCACCTGATCGTGGACAGCGACGGGACGGACGTGGTCAGCAGAGGCATTGGCGAGAGAGGTCGAGATCCCTTGAACGAGCACCGCACAGGAAGCGAGGCACCAAAGGAGTCAAGCATCGTGAACGGGGCCGATATTGGCCCTATCAGAGGAGGTAGACGCCATGGCTCCAAAAGCCAAGGTGCGGGCCAAGGCGAAAGCAAAGGCGCTGGCAAAGGCAAAAGCTGGCGCGATGAGGAGGCTGGTAGCTATGAGAGTTGGTCCCCGAGGAGTTGCAAGGAGGCCAGCCGCAGCCCCATCCGTCGACGGAGCTCCTGGGTCACGGGAGCTGTGGAGATCCGGTCAGGTGTTGAAGGCAGGCGACATCCCGGTGGACGAGCTGGTCAAAGGCCTCGAGGTGATCGTAGAGGAGATGAGCTACTTTGGCGCTCCCGGACGAGCAGCCGGTGTGATCACGGGCTTGGAGGTGGAAAGAGACGCCACCCACGTTCTCGTTCGGGCCACAGGCACCGATTCAGAAGCCTTGCTGCGCCATTGCAGCGGGCAGCCCAAAGAGTATCTCCGGGTCCACCTTTGCCCAGGGGATTGCGCAGGAGACCGCGTTGCCGAGAACCTGATCCATGGCGTCAAGCTGAGGCAGAGCAAAGGTGCGGAGGTCGAAGATCCCTGGACACGAAACCTGGTGGGGGCCGATCACCATGGCGAGGACGAGCTGGCCGGGTTGAGAGAGAAGCAGAAGGAGCACGACAAAGGTCACGGCGGAGCTCGCAAGACCTCAAAAGAGAGTCGTCAAAGGTCCAAGGAGAAGAAGAAGGAAAAGAGGCGGGGGCGCAGCGCCAAGAGGAAGAAGGAGGTGAAGAGATCCAGAGAGCGTTCGAAGAGTCGCCGCAAGGCTGCAAAGGAGGATCGGCACAAGAAGGAGGCCGTGGAGAAGGTGAGCAGCAGCAGCTCCAGCTCAGCAGTGCGTCTGGATGGTCGGAGGCCACGGGGAGCCTCTGTCAAGTCGCCTCAGCTTCTGTTCGCAGGAACTGGCCTGGACTTCAAGGACAAGGTACGGCGCCGAGTTGCCCGCCGGGCCAAAAGATTGGTTCGGCGGAAGAAAACGGAGGGCAGCGGGAGCACCGGCAGCAGGAGCTCCTCGGCCAGCAAGGACGAGGACTTCGACCAGGAGGAGGGGTTCTTCGACAGCGAGACGAAGGTGCAGAGGGTTGCGGAGAACTGCCCAGGAGCACTGGGTGCTCGTTCGTTGACATCCATGCGCAGGGCACTGTTGGAGAGCTCCGGGCTGGACGAG